TCGTAAAATTCAAGTGCTTTCGAGTAGTTACCCATGTTGTTATACGCAAGGCCGATATTGTTGTAGGTGTTAGCCAATGAAGAATGATCTTCCGGAAGAGTTTTTCGCTTGATTTCAAGTGCTTTTTCACAAAATGAAACTGCTTCTTTGTATTGTCCTTGGTGATATTTCATCACTCCAAGCATATGATATATATCTGCTTTATCACTATCGCTGGACGAGTTCTTCAGTAATCCGTTATAGAGCTCTTCCGCTTGATTGTAGTGACCCACTTTGAGCATTAGATCACCCAATCGATGCCATCCTGTGGATCCACAGAGTTCCCCTTTTATGCGTTGAGTAAGAGCAGCCAATTGTGGATCATTGTCGCCTGTGAGACTTAATTGAACTTCCCATAGACGATTGTTGCTGACTGCCTGTTTGATATCATCGACACGAAAAACAGTGTGCATTGAAAATAAAATTTCTTTTTCGCTTTCACTAGCACTGTATTCATCGATGAGGGCAAATGGAGTAGTTGAAGCTGAAATTTCACTTGAATCAATTGTCATAATGAAGAGTACACCCACAATATCTTTATTCTTGTGCATGGTATGTTGAACAAATTCCATAGCAACCTGTTTTTCTGTACTGGTAGATAGAAAGTTGTTGAATGAGAGAAGTCCACCTTTTGTATTGAGTAGATGCTGAAAGTCTTGCTCAGTGAGCCCCTGACCACGATAAACGGTAAATTTGTTTTTATATGCACCTAATTGTTCTTGATATAGATTTTCCAATTGTCGATGTAAGTTTCGGATGAAGAAGCCCATTTTTGTCATGGTTTCCATGTCAAATGATCGTAGAGCCCAATTGAGCATACTATATAGAAACATTTCACTTGTATACCACCAGATTGGTGATTTCTGGCGGTATTCACGTTGAAAATATTCCAATTGTGATTCGTTGATCTCTTTTTTATGGCAATAGGTTACTAACTGTTGTACAGGTGTGGCATCGTCTTCGTCAATTTCCAAGATAATTTCTTTGAATAACACCGAATACATGTAAGATGGTTCCAATTGGTCGAGATTTTGATGATCGGATGTTGTTGTTAAAGTCTCTTTCGACAGAAAGCTCATC